AAAAAAGACACAAAACCAGTGATTCTATCCAATTGCAAAGCACTGGAAGGTCAATGTTTAAGGTTTCCTAAACCAAAGCTACAGCTTCTATTAAGAAAAATTGACCAATGGACCACTGCTTTTCTTCGTCATTTGGACATTTATGCTGAGCGATTTCCAAAAGAAACTCCTCGGGTAATTAAATATGCTGAAATTATGCGAGACCTGACTGCCAGACATGTAGATGATGCCTGGTTGGTTTATGACCAACAGGTGAGAAAACATATAGAGGTGAACTCGTTTCCTTCGGGGGTATTACATAGTGAGTTCATGACCAATACTCCTTACATTAATTATGGCAATAGACAGCCCTTTCGGAATAGAGGGTGAGAGGCTTCCGAGGGAGATCTCCTGGTGGATTCTCAAAACAAGGTTCCGTTAGGATTCCTCATTGATTCTGCTACCCCTAACACAAATTTGGGAAATGTCCCGCTTACCCTGGAACATGCCCATACAAGCATTTCTGACATCAATGCAGAAAAGCACATTCAGTTCTGCAGTGTAACAGGGGCACATCAGTCATTACCCAAACCTCCACAGCAATACCCGGGCCAAAGAAACAATGAAGTAGTTACACCAGTAAAATGAAAAGTACTGGAACACTTTCTGTCTGGTTATGACACAGCAGTGAGTAACACTCTGAACAGGGGTTTTACGGCCGGTTTTCATATATAATTTGGAGGTCCTCGTAATTTTAGGTTTTGTAGGAATTTAACTTCAGCACATCATATTTGGAGTTCGTTATAAAAAAAGGAGAAAGAAATATGTGTGGTTTGTAAAGAGTCTCGTCGAAACCATTGAAAACCAAGACCTGTTTCAACTTCGGTTAAAACGGAAAGCNCCCCCCCCCCCCCCCCTCCCTCCCTTTTGAGTTAGTTCCCCTAAAAGAACCCGGTGATTCACCACCATTCATACCCTGAAGGGTGATCTATCAATGATGCCACCCCGACCGAATTTTGTTCTGTGTCGTACAGTACAGTCGATGATGCAATCAAAATAATTAAGAAGTTGGGTCAAGGGTGACTGCTAGCAAAGACAGATATAGTTTCTGGTTTTAGGATAATTCCAATTCACCCGGCAGACCATGACCTGTGCGATGTGATGGGGATTCCTATAAACATGAACAGACAGAAGGTACTAACCCAGTTTTATAATTTGTGGGCATGTAACTAGACACCTTAAAGATGGAAGCCCGTTTACCGCTGGACAAAATCAATAAAATACGGAATCCTTAGTATTCACAAAGGCGCCGCCTCATAGACCTTACAAAAGGAACAACTAAACCACATCACCACATTCGTTCAAACAAGCAAGCATGACTGGATTTGCAAGCGTGGGCAACATTCATTGATAGTTTCAATGGGAAATCAATCTTGCTGGATGATATCTGGCAAGACTCCGCAAAGTTGCATCTTTTCACAGATGCATCAGGCTCATTAGGTTTTGGAGCTGTTTTTTGTCAAAGATGGTTTTATGGCAGTTGGGAAGCTTGTGCATGATACAGTGAAATATAACAGTGAAAGAACTCTTTCCCATAGTTGATGCAATGGAGATGTGGGGCAAAGACTATAAAATATGGCTGTAGTAGATAGCATAAATAAAACATCTTCCACGGACTTTCGTGTTATGCAGATAGTCCGCAGGTTGGTATTGGTCTGCTTACAATACCACATTTTGTGTCAAGCCTTACACATCGCAGGAAAACTCAATTTCTTACCTGATTTACTTTCTCGCTAACAGGTAGATCAATTCAGATGTTGGCACCACATATGGACCCATCTCAAACCGGGATTCCCAAGCAACGGCATCTTTGAATGAAACAGCAGTGAAACTTTTGGATGCATTTCCGAAAATGCCCATGTCTCTTACCGGTCATCTAGAAATTCCTACAACAACTTTCATGAACAATTTGTGGGCACGACTTCCACTTTTCCTGCTCCAGTTCCAAAGGTTGTCTATTTCATATCTTGGCTATACCAACATGGGAACACTCGTAACAATATTAACACCTATTTAGCAGGTTTAGCATATACGCATAAAATGCCAGGGTTCGAAGACCAAACCCAATGCTTTTTCATCAAAAAGATCTTAAAGGGAATGCTCAGTTTAGCTGGGGCTCCAGATTTGAGTCTTCCCATTACACCAATCATCTTGAGCAAGTTGGTGGTTGCCTTGCGTCACACCGCCACCAGCGAGTATGATAGGAAACTTCTGCGGGCTATGTTATCTCTCAATTTCTTTGCTTTTCTAAGAGTTGGTGAAATTACTGAGGCAAGTTAAGACTGACACCGACGCATTATACAATTTGATAACGTCACAATGGATACAGCCCACAAAAAGCCCAATAATATGATACTAACTCTTCCCCTTTTCAACCACCATTCTTCACATAGACCTGTTAGTCTCAAGTTAGTATGCCAAGATTGCAAAATAATTTGCCCAGTGGCTTCTCTAAAGTATTTCATGAAAATGAGAGGTGATCATCCTGGTCCGTTGTATACTTTTGGGGGTTCAAAACCTATTACACAATCATTTTATACATCGAAGTTGAAGCAGGTCTTGGTTTTCAATGGTTTTGACGAGACTCATTACAAACCACACATTTTTCGCATTGGGGCAGCGACCACTGCTTTCAATTGTCAGATACCTTAGAGAAATATCCGCTTAATGGGTCGCTGGAAATCAGATGCAATAAAACATTATTTCAAAATGAATGAGCACAGTATGAGACTGTCTGTGGCGGCTCATAGATTGTTGTGCTTGAAACATAGCCTATGTGACAGAACAGAAGGTTGAGGACATGTGTTGTTGTGTATAGTTCTAAGTATGTGAGACTGTCTGAGGCGGCTCAATCAATTTGTATTAGCTTTTTCCAAGGATCCCGAATATTTGAGACTGAAAGTTCATTTAGGTAATTTTTTGTTACTATGGTAGCAGTATACAGTAGAGGGTTGTGGCCATGGGTGATATTTTTGTTTAATGGCTAATCCCTGTATAATTATATGTAAAAAAAATATAAAAATAAAGGTATACTAAAATCGGTATAAGCATGATGAAGTGGGCTATGTGAGCTCCACATTTGTAAAAAAAAACCAGATTTTTTTGGTTCGAGAATAAAATTTTGACCATAATCCGAAAAGGTACCTACACATGAAAAGCTAGCTTTACAGGAGGTAACATTTTGACCACAGCACACGACGCAAAATTGCAAAAATTCAAGTATTACAACTTTACTGAGACCCAGATATTTCTGCAACCAGGTAGGTAATCTTTAATTTCAGACAGAACTTAGATAAAATTACTAGTTGCGAGGGTCAAATGTTGGGTCAGAAATAGCATTTTTTGGCATTTTTTGGTAATTTTTGATGTGATAACCATGATTTTCACACAAGTGACACACATAGAAAAAAGAGATTTATACACTTCTCAGTACTTAATATGTATTGTAAATGATATGCAGACTTCTTAAGGATTGGCCTTCATTTTGACTGCGAATACGGTAGTATGAACGGAGTTGGCAACGAACATATTCTATGGAGCGCGTTAGCGCTCCATAAAGAATATGTTCGTTGCCAACTGCGTTCATACTACCGTATACGCAGTCAAACTGAAGATCAATTCTTATATTTACATATTTTCGTACTATGATGATACACTCAGAATAAAGCTAACTCCAATACATTTGCTTGTATAATGGTACAAAGCCTCCGTAACGTGGGTAAATCCAAACAAATGAACAGCCTACAGCCTGCGAGCAGCGATGGATCTCCAACGTTATCATTATGACATCACAATGTAAATTACGTCATAAATAGGAAACAATTGTCTCCAAGGAATCTCTTTGCGTATACGGTAATGTATACGCAGTCACGGTTTACACAGCTTCAATGGGAGCGAATGTAAATATAAATATATCTACATGTATACATTTGTTGTGTAGGGTAAATCCGCTGTGTTTACATTTCCTCGACATGTGCCTTGTTTATCAGTCGGGCCATTTCTACTGTATTCTGCTACCTATAAATATATTACAGGCCATGACCCAGGGTTTACAAGGCAGCACCATGTCTTGTATCCTTTTTGATGTACTGACTGTTGAATTACGTGTAAAATGTTTTTATTTCATAATTTAGCTGAATTGTAGTTTATATCATGAATTGAAAGTTGCTGCTTATATGTAACTGTTCCTTGTGTGAAGTGCAAGTGACTTGATTGTTCTTGAGATGGTTTCCCCATTGTTGCACAAATAGTTCGCTGGGTTTGGGCACTTGTTCGGATAATATTCATAATTTTCGCTCAAGTTTGTGGTGTTATGATCATCCATTAGCCCAACCTTTTTTGCTGAGTGGAAAATGATCACAATTATTATGTAACTAACATTTCTTTTGCATTACATAAATGCTCATATTCGACAACAAATTAGAATTTTAGTTCTTGTTCTGGTATTTGCAAAAAACATAGCAGAGTTTCCACGTGTCCTACTACAACCTATTTTCCTGACACTCTTAACATGATGACATTATTACCATATACATAACAAAAATGTGATACATTTTTCTGCGCAAACTTTGTTTGCAAATATGGGGTATGATGCTAGATCGTTTTCATCTAAAAAGCTCCAAGAAAAAAAATGATATTTTCAAAATGGTAGCCAGTCAAAACTTATATTCAGGGTGTCGGAGCTTATTCTGGAAGTTGGAGTGAGAATATGCACTCTTTCATGTGAAAGGATGTAGGATAGGAAAATGCCAACCTCGGAATTTTCAAATTTGGCAAAACCATCGGCAAAGCCTCGGGTTTTACCACATTTGAAAACGCCTTTAGCGGAATTTCTCTATCCTATACCCCCGAGCATGAATGTGTCTTATACTCATATTTTTTTCTGATTACAATATATACCGGACGTTTTTCAAACTACAAAGGATGGCAGCAGCGCAGCACCATGACTGTCGGTGTATTACCTGTATCCTAACATCCTGCACGTTACATTAGCGTACCGGTCGTCCCAGTGGTATAGGCCACAAACACTTCCCCAGTAACCACTGTAGTACACTTCTACACGGCCCACGTTGGGTTCTGAACCTCCACTCAGGCGGATCTCAAAGTCAGCTTCTGTTAGAAATTATATTTACATTGAAGAACAATGCGAAAGCAATTTAGCTCATTTCATCACATAACAGTTTATTCGTATCATCTTAATCCTGCAAAAAGGTATTTTGTGAGAATATATTCAATTAAATAAAGCAGTTTTAATGTCAATTTACGGCTGTTCATTAAATAAATGACTTATTTTTATAAGATTAAAGCGTATTTGTATTGTTCTGAAAGAGGGTATACACATAAAAGTGATATCTTTTTTTACAGACTGATTTTTTTCTGCAATAAAAGGTTGACAGAATTCTGTAGCAGTTTTATGATCTAAACCTATCCTTTGATCGCTTTTTAAAACTTCCCTCAAATATCTTTCACATTAAGTGTAATATATCTTAACAATACCAGAAGTAATTATATATTTCGTTGTTGTTTTCGTAGTTTGATAGATTCTATATCTTCAGTCATTAATATCCATTTTGAGAAATTTAAGATCCGTCGAAAATGCTGAAAAATCATCCGTGATTAAAATAGAGTTGGTATTTGAAAGTGTGTGATAATTGTATACGTACCTGTGAGATTATAACAGAAAACATTAGCGGGGTAACTATCACAATAACTATGTAGACCCCATCCGTCAAAGGAGCAATCCGCTAGACTGTCCTCCGTACCGTTACAGTCTACACCTGACATCCATACAGGATATGATATACTGCCATAACGGGTGGTGGGATATATATAATGACCAGCACTGAAAGATAGATATAGAAATACCAGATTGCTAGGGGCGATTCACTTAACAAGTCTTAAATTACAAAAATAGGTAATTTAGTATTCGTAACGTAATACAAATTTGTTTGTCGTACTTTATTAACACGTATGTATATTGTATTGTCCCCCGTAACATAACTCACCAAGCAATGTTCGCTACATTTTTATATAGCAAAAAGAGATTATATACAAGAAACTGTAAGCCGTATGTACAAGTATGCATTCTCCTACCCAGAGAAAACCGGTTAAACAATGCGGACATCACAAATAGTGCGAATGTTCATGAAATATGTGAATACTTAAAATTTAGGGAAAGGATTTGTAACTTGTTTTTTTAGGCATATAACATCAAATAGGCGGATTCATCGAACAACCTGATATTCTGTTACATAAAACCCGATAGCAGAAATTATTACAATTTATTACGAGCCGTGGATTTATGTCATATTTCTCAATGAATGTTGAATAAAATCAGTAGGTAATTTGAAACAATAAAGATATATGTTAAGTAATTAGATGTAACCTACAATTCAACAGAAAGCTATATTCAAGATATGATATCTGTAAACACAAGCCAAAGGTATTTGGAAGAAAACGTTTTGCAGTTGGAATAGCACTTTAACATTAACGTAGAACTTAATTTCTCTCATGTCCGTGTGTGTAAGATAAATATGTCCAGGTTAAGAAAAGGATGTAAGAAATTTCTATCTTACATCCCATTTCACGTGACGTGACGTCAAAGTGACTCAACAATGACGTGACGTCACGAATTTGTAAATCTCTGATGCCACAATCCGGAAATGGCGACGTGATGATACGATATTATTTACCATAAACGTTACAAAAATGTGATTCATTTTCTGTGCAAACTTTGTTTGCAAATATGGGGTATGATGCTAAATCTGACTGACAGAAAAGAAAAGAAAAAAAATGGTAGCCTGTCCTAAATTATTTTCAGGGTTTCTGAGCATATTCTGGAAGTTGGAAAGAAATAATGCACTCTTTCATGTGTAAGGATGTAGGATAGGAAAAGTCCACCCTCGAGATTTTCAAATTTGGCAAAACCATCGGCAAAGTCTCGGGTTTTACCAAATTTGAAAACTCCTCTAGTGGAATTTCCCTATCCTACACCCCCGGGCATGAAAGAGTCTTCTACTCTTCTTTTTTTTCTGATTGCAATATTTACCGGACGTGTTTTAAACTACATGCGATGGCTACGGTAGCGTGACTGTCGGTACATTACCTGTATCCTAACATCCTGCACGTTACATTAGCATCTCTGTCGTCCCAGTCGTAGTAGCAAACACTTCCCCAGTAACCACTGTGGTACACTTCGACACGGCCCACATTGGGATCCGGACCTCCACTCAGGCGGATGTCAAAGTCTGTTTCTGTTAGAAGTTATGCTTACTTTAAACAACAATCACATATCTGTTCTGTGACCAGTCTAGTTCTCCCACCACTATTACTTATATTGAAATGTCTTCAAGACTTATCGTTCCTGCAACTGTTTACATGTAGCTCTTTAAAACGTTAGGTGTATTTCGGAAAAAAACCGCAAAAAAATGATAAACACATGTGTTGTTTAGCTTGCTCGCCAAAGATGTTACACTGGTCGAGCCAAAAAGTATTTTTATATGACAATGTACATGTATAACAAAAATGATTAATTTATAGAAGTTATCATTAATGTCATATGTTGCAAGTTATTTGCATTCAGGTTTTAAATTGTGATGCCTTTTGTAGAAAGCATGTTCTGATATCTCGTCTAATTTCAGATTTGGAGCTTATTACTTGGTCAAATTGTTTACGTTTTGATACAGAGTAAGGCAGTTGGTCATTTTTACATATCTACTGCTATTCATTGTAGCGGTTGACACACTATGCCATCAAGCTATTCTTTCCCATATTTTAGTCACATATTGGTAAAAACGTCGGTAATTTGGCTGGTCTTGTTGTGAGATCATAAATACGTGTTCAGAACACTGTCAAGCCTGTGCTAGTAATCACCATTATTGTGTAACACATATATATTATCGGTTTGTTTATGTGACCCTTTGCTCGTTTCCTCCTGGTGTTGATGCATTTCAGACAAATTTATTTATGGCTTGCATTATAATTGCTACTATTACAATGTAAGAGCTAATTGTTATTGATCTATAATGCCAAGGGAAGTTACTCTTTGTTGACTTGGGTATTTAAGGATGCATGTACTGTTACTACAATAATGGTGTGCAAGATGGGTTTGACTAGTGTTGATATCATCATTTATTAGGTGATTTCAATTATTACCCCGCGGTATGCATAATACAACTTATGTTGAAGAGAATATAAAGTTTTATACATTTGTAGCAATATCATTTCAATATCTGTAATGTCGGTCTTCACTGACGGACTGATTGGCTGCACTGTTTTGAATAAAGTCCTACTGTTAACGAGACATCATGTCTTCTCTCGTCTTGAGATGAAAGTATAATAGCACGTCAGCTCATTGAAAATGTGAATTCATCGCTTAACATTATCTCTATTATTTGCAATGTCAATTTATTACATTTTAATAACAACAGTCCTTTTAAGGATTTATAAAGTTACTACATATATTCATGTACATGATTTCAGATCAAACTTCACTAATGAAATAGTTTTTCAGAAATTCAAAACAATAACGTTTTATAATTTGTTTTCACTCAGATCGAAATTCAAATGACGTACTCATAAATACATTTTATTTGAACAATACTACCAAACAATCATACATTTCTATGTTGATGTTTTGTTGGGGGTTTTGTTTTGGGGGGCGGGGGTAGTTTTAATATTCCTCATATCTTCGTTCAGTATGATCCATTTAAAAAAAAAATGTGAGTTACCTTGAAAATGCTGACAATCAGTGGTGACAAAGGGTAAGCAATACCTTAAGTAACCTACATTTACATTTAACACCATCTGAACTTTTATTATTGATACCTACCTGTGACGTCATAACAGAAAACACAAGCGGGATAGTAACCGCAAGAACCAGCTTGACCCCATCCGTCAAAGGAACAATCAGCTAGACTGTCCTCCGTACCGTTACAGTCTACACCTGACATCCATACAGGATCTGTAAGACGGCCATAACGGGTGGTGCGATATATATGATGACCAGCACTAAAATATAAATATAAAAATATTAGATTATTTGGTGCGAATCACTCAACAAGTCTTAAATTACAAAAAAACAAGTAATTTTATATTCGTAACTTATTACAAATTTGTTTGTGGTACTTTGTTAACACGTCTGTATATTGTATCGTCCCGCGTAACATAACTCACCAAGCAATGTTCGCTGCTTTTTATATTACAAAAAAAACGGTAACATACAAGAAACTGTAAGCCGTATGTACAAGTATGCATACTCCTACACAGAGAAAACCGGCTGAACAATGCGGACATCACAAATAGTGCTGTTGTTGATAAAACATAAGAATAAGAATGTAAGAATATCTGTAAATCATGATTTTTTTTTATGAAAATCATTCAACACGGATACCGAATGACCCCTTCGCCTTTTTTTTTTTTTTTTTTTTTTCAATCGTTTCAGAGAATATTTTGCTAGGACTACATCTTCTTGTGTTTTCCCACGATTTCCCACCCCTGCACGATTACTCGCCGGATGAGAAATCTTGTTAGGAGTATACAAACACTGAATTTTTGTTTTTGGTGATTGAGACTTAGTTAGGCTTATTTATACATTTACAGCATAGTTATTGTGGATAGGCATTAAACCCCGAACTTCCTAACAAATCTACTTCCCACTAAGGTAGGAGAAAACCGACATGCTCTTAGGGATAATGATAACTACAAAATTCCCAATTTCAGACTATCTACTACTAGTTTATCTTTCTTCCCTTCTTCATTAAAAATGTGGAATACTCTAGACTATAATATTAGATCCATGTCTTTCTCATCTTTCAAATCAGCTCTAGTCCCCAACATACCATATACAGTACCCCCTCATTACCTACGTGGCGACAGAAAAATAAACATTCTTCATACCAGATCTAGACTAAGACACGAATGCAGTTTTACAAACAATTATATGCTGACCATTCGGATAATATTGAAGATGTTAATTTAGACAGCCTTTTAGATGGTTTAGAATTTGTAAAGTTAAAAGTTAAAGCATTGAAAAATATGAAAACCTGTAAATCACCCGGTTCTGATGGTTTTACTAGTGATCTTTTTTAATTTTTCTGGAGTAATTTAAAAAAAAATATTATCAGGGCAATGATTTTTGGGTACAATAAGGGGGAGCTATCCATTACACAAAGACAGGGTATTATCACCTGTATTCCCAAAGGAGATAAAGTTAGACATTTTATTAAAAATTGGAGGCCGATTACTTTATTAAATGTTACATATAAACTTGCTTAAGCTTGTATAGCCAACAGACTAAAAACGGTTCTTGGTTTTATTATTTCAGACACACAAACAGGTTTTTTAAGTGGAAGATATATTGGGAAAAACATCAGACTTATTTACGACATTTTGAATTTTACTGAAATAAACAATATACCAGGACTTTGAATATTTATAGATTTCGAAAAAACCTTTGATTCAGTTTCATGGAATTTTTTATACAATGTAGTTGATTTTTTTAATTTTGGTGAAAGCATTAAAAATGTATGAAAACATTATACAAAAATACCTACTCTGCAATAAGCCAAAATGTTATACTATCATTTTTTTATATATACAAAGGGGTTGTCGACAAAGGGATCCTGTCTCCCCATATCTATTTTAACTTGTAGTTGAAATATTGGCTATTCTTATTAAAAACAAAATAAAAATATCAAGGGCATTACAACTCAACAGAAATATCATAAGCTCTCACAGTTTGCAGATGATACCTCAATAATTTTAGATGGATCTAGACACTCATTCAACGAAGCACTGAATGTTTTAGATTGCTTTGGTAAAATATCAGGACTAAAAGTAAATAATGATAAAACTAAGGTGATATGGATTGGCAGCAAGAAATTCAGTGAAGACGTTTTACCATCATAGATGGAAACTGAAATGGGGAGAAACAAAATTTAATATGCTAGTGGTTTATTTTTCAGTTAATCTAGATGAGGTTGTAACTTTGAATTATACCACAGTTCTTAACAAGAGGCCCATGGGCCTTAACGGTCACCTGAGTCCTACAGTATTTATTTTTGTTGTTGAAATATGTACCAATTTAAGTAAAAAATAGTTAAGTATAATGTTAACTTAACTTTGTCAGGACCATGAGCTGATCATTCCTAGACCGATTTTAAATAAGATCGGCCTATTATTAATTGTTTTTAAGTTTAGAATAGGTATTTACAAAATAGCGACTGTGGTGGCCATATTGGATTTCTGATTGACCTGAAAAATAACAACACTTTGTCAGGACCATGAGTCGATCATTCCTACCAACTTTCAGTTCAATCGCCCCAGCAGAACTTGACTTTAAGTTTGAAATAGGTATTTTCAAAATGGCGGCCGTGGCGGCCATATTGGATTTCTGATCGACCCGAAAAATAACAACACTTTGTCAGGACCATGAGTCGATCATTCCTACCAACTTTCAGTTCAATCGGCCCAGCAGAACTTGACTTTAAGTTTGAAATAGGTTTTCAAAATGGCGGCCGTGGCGGCCATATTGGATTTCTGATCGACCCGAAAAATAACAACACTTTGTCAGGACCATGAGGCGATCATTCCTACCAACTTTCAGTTCAATCGGCCCAGCAGAACTTGACTTTAAGTTTGAAATAGGTTTTCAAAATGGCGGCCGTGGCGGCCATATTGGATTTCTGATTGACCCGAAAAATAACAACACTTTGTCAGGACCATGAGGCGATCACTCCTACCAACTTTCAGTTCAATCGGCCCAGCAGAACTTGACTTTAAGTTTGAAATGTAAATTGTTCACGGACGACGGACGACGGACGAAAACGGATAGCAATAGGTCACTTGAGCTAAAGCTCAGGTGACCTAAAAATGTTAATAAAAGTATAAATCAGTGGTCACGCATAATTTTAACACCTCTTGGTCGGATAGTTGTATTAAAATCAATCATTATACCAAAATTTAGTCATCTATTCATATCTGTTCCTCCACCCGACAATCATTTTATTCAACAGTTAAACACTACTTTTTTCAATTTTATTTTGCAATCATCAGTCAACAAAATTAAAAGAGACACTGTAGTCAAAAGCTATGAAAATGGGGATCTGAAAATGATTGATATCAGGAGTTTTACAACAAGCCTTAAGTATGCATGGATAAGAAGATCACTGAAAAATAATGATAAATGTTGGACAAATGTTTTTGAAGCAGAACATTTTCCCACCATCAACATATCAGATTTTGGTACTGACTTCATTAAAAAATTTAAGACCAAAAATACCTTCTGGAAAAATGTTTTTCAGGCATGGGTAGATATTTCAGAAGAAACAAATGCAAATTAAAAATATTGAGCAGTTTCTTACTTTTCCTATATGGTATAACCCAATTTTCTGCATTGATAACAGGTCTTTTCATTAAAAAATGATTTGAGAAGGGTGTTGAAAATGTGTGTGACCTACTGGACCAAGATAATTCTTTACTAACCTTTGCAAACTTTACCCTAAAATTCAATATCGATTCAGAAAACTTCTTAATTTATTAAAGTATATGCCAATCAATTAAGCAAAGATATAGACAATTTAACTTTAATTTAATTGCTGAAAAAAATGTTGAAAGACCATTTATATACTACACCATATCAATGTAATTATGAAAACCAAGAAAGGTTGTTAAGACATGTATGTTACCCTAAATAATAACAAGAGGCCCATGGGCCTTAACGGTCACCTGAGTCTACAGTATTTATTTTTGTTGTTGAAATATGTACCAATTTGAGTAAAAAATAGTATAATGTTAACTTAACTTTGTCAGGACCATGAGCTGATCATTCCTAGACCAATTTTAAGTGAGATCGGCCTATTAGAACTTAGTAGCAAAATAGCGGCCATGGCAGCCAAATTGTATTTCTGATTGACCCGAAAAATAACAACACTTTGTCAGGACCATGAGTCGATCATTCCTACAAAGTTTCAGTTCAATCGGCCAAGTAGATCTTTACTTTAAGTTTGAAATAGTTTACCAAAATGGCAGCTGTGGTGGCCATATTGGATTTCTGATCGACCTGAAAAATAACAACACTTTGTCAGGACCATGAGTCAATCATTCCTACAAAGTTTCAGTTCAATCGGCCTAGCAGAACTTGACTTTAAGTTTGAAATATGTTTTCAAAATGGTGGCCGTGGCGGCCATATTGGATTTATGATTGACCTGAAAAATAACAACACTTTGTCAGGACCATGAGTCGATCATTCCTACAAACTTTAAGTTCAATCGGTCCAGCAGAACTTGACTTTAAGTTTGAAATAGGTTTTCAAAATGGCGGCCGTGGTGGCCATATTGGATTTCTGATCGACCCAAAAAATAACAACACTTTGTCAGGACCATGAGGCGATCATTCCTACCAACTTTCAGTTCAATCGGTCCAGCAGAACTTGACTTTAAGTTTGAAATAGGTTTTCAAAATGGTGGCTGTGGCGGCCATATTGGATTTCTGATCGACCCGAAAAATAACAACACTTTGTCAGGACCATGAGGCGATCATTCCTACCAACTTTCAGTTCAATCGGTCCAGCAGAACTTGACTTTAAGTTTGAAATAGGTTTTCAAAATGGCGGCCGTGGCGGCCATATTGGATTTCTGATCGACCCGAAAAATAACAACACTTTGTCAGGACCATGAGGCGATCATTCCTACCAACTTTCAGTTCAATCGGTCCAGCAGAACTTGACTTTAAGTTTGAAATAGGTTTTCAAAATGGCGGCCGTGGCGGCCATATTGGATTTCTGATCGACCCGAAAAATAACAACACTTTGTCAGGACCATGAGGCGATCATTCCTACCAACTTTCAGTTCAATCGGCCCAGCAGAACTTGACTTTAAGTTTGAAATGTAAAATGTTAACGGACGACGGACGACGGACGACGGACGACGACGGACGAAAACGGATAGCAATAGGTCACTTGAGCTAAAGCTCAGGTGACCTAAAAATAAATGTGCGAACACAGCTGAAA